AGGTTTTGTTCCGACAGCAGTGAAAAAAGTGAAAGTGAGGAATTGAAACGTACAGTTTAAAGAGGAATTCCATCAATTTCTCAAAATTTCTGCAGAGTCATTCAGAGTGGTTTGGTGTGAAATGCTCCATTCTAGAGAAACTTACAGAGTCAGAATGGTGGTGATAGGAACCAGACGTCTGAAGAGTTTAACGCCTCTAAAAGCTCCCTCACGGGTAGCTGTTATGCAAAATGGTTATGAATACACCGCTTCAGACATTGTTTACGATACATGTAAGTATACTGTTCTTTTTGGATAGCAAATCAAATGGCTATGTTTGCGTTAGACACCGTAATGCCTACATTGTAAAGAAATCTAAGCTGGGTAAACTCTTTAGAATGCTCCATATCATATCAAACCACTCTTAGGCTACGTTCACATTACAGGCCTCATTGCTCAAATCCGAATTTTTGCTCAGATCTGATCTCTCTGACACGATGGTTCACACTCGTTTAGGTAAGTGGTTCAAATCTGTCATTAATGTGAACAAACCGGCGCCCTGAAATGAGCCGCATGAGCACATCCTGCTCAGTAACGTCACGTGAATGAATCACGTGCATCATCAGCACAGACTAACGAGCAGAACGAGCTTCACTGAGAAGATAATTAACTCTGATCAGCTCTCAGCTTCATTATTAGAGCGAGACGAAGGAGAAAAAGGTGAGATGAGCTGCTTTTCCACCGTTTACAGACTTTAACATCTGTTCGGCGCTGCTGCCATGGTAACGCTGAACGATGGCGCGCGCACAGTGGAAAAACACATGAATTCCGATCTGAGCGTCACATTAAGGTTGTTTGGCCACGAATCGGATACGTATCCGATCTAGGACCACATATGAAAGTGGCTCAGGTCGGATTTGAATAGATCAGATTTGCACACAGCTCTGAAAACATCAGATCTGAGCCACATTAGGGCAGAAAATCGGATTTGTGCCACTTCAACCTGGTAATGTGAATGTAGCCCTATTGTTTTGAATTGTACAAATGCTGAAAAATCAGTGTAATAATAATTAGGCAGTACATTTGGGGAAAGGAGAAAACTGTATGAATTTGATTTGTTTTGGTTTAATGTCTGATGCGTTAGTCCTGTTCCAGACATGGGTTGGTGATGAAGGCTGTCTAATGAAATATTAGACAAAGGATGAAGCCAGTATGCTTGAATGCCAATGTCAGATGTAGTGATAAGTCACTGAAATGCATTGGTATTGTTAGTCATGTCTGGCATGAGTAGTGCTGTAGGCCATTGATGGCGGTCATTGCTGGCGGTGGAGGTGGCCGTGAGGCTGCATGGTGCTGATAAGGCTTCAAGAATGTCAATGCCGTTCCACACTTTCCTCCTAATGGCTTGCTGAAGAGACTGCCAGTGTTCCTGCCTGTCACGTGGGATTAAGGACCAGATTCCTTCTCCATTTTGGTAGCAGAGGTCAGCGCTGTGACCATGTGTGGGGCAGAGCAGATAAGGTTTCAAGGTCAGGGTATAGTCTCTGGAACCAAAACGCGTGATGAGAAAAATGTTAATGCACTTTGCAAACATCAAAAAAACCAAAGAAGTGGATTGCAGGAAGTAAACAGCTAAGCAGGTGACCAGACAGTGGACAGGCTGTGTGTAAAACTTGATACTATGAATGCACTGACCTGTTTTTAGTCTGTGTATGTGTAGCACCCCCTCCCCCCTTCTCCCCCAACCCAAATGAGCCAGGCCAGATATTTATAAAAGCTCCTACTGTACTGGCTCACAGTGCCAAATATAGACAGCACTAGAGAGGAGACAGGAGAAGAAGTGCACTATGGGAGAAAATGTACGAAGACTTTCTAGTTCTAAACATGGGCCTTAGTCACTCTCTCTCTCTGTTTTATCCCTCCCACTCTCACCCCACTCTACTGGAGTTCACGCATCTGACTCCAGACACCACCATCTGCATGGCCCGAGGCTGTAGCTCAGCTCAGTGGGTCAAACAGCTTAGTCGTGCGACCTCTTTCTCCAAAAACCCCAAAACATTCCCGCTGACTGCCCCCCTGCCCCCCTGCCCCATGTCTGTCTTTCTTTTTAGCCCAAAGCGTCTTCCTGTCTTCTGCAACCAGCCCAGCCTGAGACACAACACTTCACAAATATGACGAAAGCTCCGCCGTGAAGGATAAAGAGAAGAATTTCAAAACATCCTGATAAAAAGAGGAGCAAAGTCAAAGCTAGATAAATCACATTAAAGCGATAGTTCAGCAGCAGATCAGATTTACACAGTTTTCACCCTGTTTCAAAATGTAGTTGCCTTTTATTTTGTTTGGATTTCATAGCTTATTCCATAGCAAAGTAATTTGTTGCTGATAGACAGATTACCTCCTGCAATTAAATTTATTAGGGCTGTAATCATTCACAAAAATCATAATTCAAGCTAACACACTACTTATGATGCAGTATGATTTAATACAGTGTGTTAATTGTTGCTATTAGGGCTACATGACCCTACAAATGGAGGTTTTTCAGAGGCAACACTCCAAGCAGAGTGTTATGAGAAAAAAAGAATAACCGGCTGCACAAGAGACCAAAGAAACCCACAAATGTGAGAATTTTCTGTGTTAAAAATTACGATAACCACTGTATTGTCTTAGTTTAATGTAATTTCAATCTATTATGGTCCTTTTCTTCATAACAAGCATAAAACAGTGCTAATAGTGTGCTGATGTCCAGAAGCTAGCTAGCTAACTTTCCCATTTCACCTTAATTAGTCCAGCAGTTCTGACGCCTGAAGCTCCAGAATGTAACTGCTGCGCCATGTAAGGTGGAAAAGGGAAATTCAAACAAGAACCTGGTGAATATCTGACTTCAACTTCATATCACTGAAGAATTAGGGGTGGGCGATAATACATATTTGCCCCCCTCTTTGAAGGCATATGATGCCCTAAATGTAACTAAAGCCCAGCAGTGAGGTGCTGAACTTTACCCTCCTCTGCTGTCACTGCAGACTGGCAGGGTCGCCTACAGAGCAGCGCTAGTAGCTGTTAATGAAACAATCGTCTTTTTTATTTGAGGGTCCCATTTCATAGGGAAGATTTCAACCACTACCACTTATAACTCAGTTCCAAGGGTCAACATGACCTTCGAAAACAAGGGGTAGGGGTAAAAATAAGAAATGGGATTGGGCCTTAGAAATGTCACTACTGAAACACATAAAACATAAAAACTAAGATTTTAAGTGTGTACAGCTGCTCAAAGCTGTGTTTGCTAGTCATGCACTGGCTGGCGTTTTGGGTTCTGCTCAAAATGAGCTAAAATTGTGACTTTCGAAACAGTCACTACTGAAACATTTGGTAAAGTTTTGATAGTGTTATGATTGTTTTGGTAGTGACAAAATGGAATGTTCAGTCATCTATTTTAGTAAAATAAACAGGATCCTTTAACCCTTGTGTGGTGTTGAGGTCTGTGGGACCCATTTTCAGTGTTTACCAAAAGACAAAATGATTTAATTTATTATTATTTCAACCTCAGATTCTTGGTCTTTGCTCATTTTCTGTGAAGAACATATAAAATAACCCATTTTCAGTGTCTTCACTCTGTTCACCCCCCACACATTTATATTACACATGTGGTGTTGGGTGAACCCGCGGGGAGTAAAAGTGTGGAGGTGCTGTGTCCTTCACTCTGTTCTCCTCCTACACGGCCTGCTGTTAGTGTGTGTGTGTGTGTGTGTGTGTGTGTGTCTGTGTGTGTGTGAGGGTGGACAACATGGACAGGCTGCTGACTGGCTACAGCTGCTAAAGGAGAACCCTACACTGACCACTTGTGATATTTTAAACATCTGGTATTTTTACATAAATTGTTATGGCCGCATTGATTTAAACAATAATGTGGTGGGTCACCAGACCACTGAGTAACAGACACACCAACACCACACAAGGAATTTAGGCTGTAGTCCAAGTCAGTTAAAAGTCCAAAAGATATGTTCAGCTCTGACTTTGAACCAGTATGGTAGAATTATTCATCTCTTTTAAAATAGGATGTGTCCTAAGTATATACATTAAAACGATACACATTTTACAGTAAATTTGATTACAAGAGATAAACTAATTCCCCTTCATGTGTACACATGGATCAGTCTGTAGTTTTAAAGCACATTTCTTGAGCAGGATATGCTCCCACTTACTTATTACAGCACAAAACCATTTTAATGGCATGATTGTGGCAGCCATCTATGAAATGAGCTACTGTGCTCAGAGCAACCATGTAAACTTTTCCGTCTGAGCTCATACTGTACACACTTGGAAAGAGCAGGGTGGAGAGCGGCCTTGTTTTCATCCATCTCCATTGCTTTGGGATCCGGTTGTGTCTCCAGTGCTTGTAATCTGTGTTTTGACTCTACAGAGACGCTCTGACCTGAACAAATACTGTTGTAGTTAGATAGAATTGTTTTAGGACAATGCTGTGGAAAGATAAACTAGGGTGAGTCAACGCTGTTCATACAGTTTTCATCTTCATCCACGTCTGATATTTAACATCTGCAGATGGGTAACAGATTAAAGGTAGAGTTGAATAAATGAGGTGAGAAACATGATGAGTGCAGACGCTTCCAGACGGGTGTACTGTATGATACAGTTAAGCAGTTAACATCCTGCTATGAAGAAGGTTTGAAATAACTGAGCAGGCTTAGTTGGCCCTCGATTTTGGATCGACATGGGAAGAGGAGAAGATCTATGTGCACAGATGGAAGGAGCTTCAGCACGATTAAAGATGTCAGCGTGATTCTCACGTAGAGCTGGGCGATATGGCCAAAAATGTTATCACGATAAACAAAATTCACATCGTTCGATATCGATACATATCGCGATTAATGTCAAATCATTATTTCTTTCAAGTTTAAAGGCTGATTTTTGCTCCTGAGTAGCTGTTTTAAACCATCCTTTCTGGTCAGAACACGACAAACACTCACCAGACAGTGGAGCATTTCACCCCGTTACAAATGCTAAACAAGTGGCCAACAACAGTGCTAAACTGTTTAGTTTCTCAACAACGTCAGCTTAGTATGAACAGCAAACATTAGCTGGCTCGGTACGTCAGTGATGGATCACACCGCCTTACTGCCATCACTCCCACCACATCCATGTTAGAGCTTATCACAAATACTAAAATATGACCATCTGAGCGCTGTAACGATGCTGTAGTTGTGAGGAGCAGACGTGATTTAACACTGCTAAAGCTTGTTAGGATGTTAGGAAAGAGGTGAGTTCACTGTAGGACAGTATAGTTACGCCACTTATCACTCACTCGTGGTCACAGGAGAACAGATCGCAGGTCACTCCACTCAAACAGGGAATGTACAACTCCCGTTTCAGACGTTGGCAAAGTATATTTGACGACCCTTTTTTACTCATTCCAACCCCCTTTTTTACTCGTTCCAACGCCCCCCCCCTACACAGCAGAGTAGTGTAGCTTCCCTTGCAGCAGAAAACGCCACCAGGCCTGTCGCTAAGAACGTGGAAGTGTATGAATGGCATATTGTTTTGAAAATTTATCGGATATTTCTTAGAGTTCTATCAAGGAAAGTTATATCGTGATAATTATCGTCATCGTTTTATCGCCCAGCCCTATTCTCACGCATTACTGCGCTGGGTAAGTGAAAACAGAACAGACATTCCTCGGGTGACTGATAACGTCAATGCAGGACGTGATCAGACTGATCAAGCAAGAACAGTCTGTCCACAGCCATTATGGATATTATAGTAGGGCTGCTGTGCATAAACCCCTCATAACCCCTCACAATCCCTCAGGAAGAGAAGAGATGTGGAAAAAAGTGATGTGGTCAGATGAGTCATCCTTCACCATATTCTCCGCAAGTGGGTGAGTGCATGTACACCAATGGTATAAGCCTAATTGCTTAACCCCTACAGTGAGGGGGGTGTGGTAGTTTTGTTATGCTGGGGGCATTTTGCTGCCATGATTTGGGTCCATTTGTCCCCTAAGATGGACGGGTCACTGCAAATCAATATAAAGTTATTCTGATTGATCAGCTTTAATCTATGATGACACATTCCTATTCTGATGGGAGTGGGCTCTTCCAGGATGACAGTGCCACAATCCGAAGTGCATGAGGGGATGCTTTTATGAGTATGAAAATGATGTAAATCATATGCTGTGGCCTTTGCTGGTGATCTTTGATCACCAGATCTGGACTGACATGTTGGGCAGCGCTGTCCATCACCATCCTCAAACCACCAACTGAGGGAATATCTTTCGGGAGAATGGTCTTCTTCCGAAAGATATTCCAAAAGGCATTTTATAGACTTTATAGAATGCCAAGGTGCATAGATACCTACACACATAAAATGATGGTTCTTTAGAAAAGAAAGTGGTTTTATATGGAACCATGAACACCCCAAGGAACCCTTTGCACAGTTAAAGGGTTCCTTGCATCATGAAAGTGCTCTTCAGATTGATGGAGACTGAGCTGTGGCTGGTTCTGTGTAGCGCCACAAAAGGTTGTACTATTATAACAAGCTTGACATCATAACAACAGAAGAACTATATGGATTCCTTCTTAAAAAGGCTTTATATAGAACCATCTATAACGCATTCTCCATCAATCTGAAGAACACTTCATGATACAAAGAACACTTTAATCGTGCCAAGGGTTCTTTGAGTGCATATTTATTGCGTAACATGACTCGGGAAAAACTGTGTGATATCTGATTTTTCCAAACTGTTGCTTTACGTGAAAGGATAGTAGAAAGGATTATTCAGTGTATCCGCTTTGTTCAGTGTAGTAGCTGAGTGTTTAATTCATCCTAAGGCATTCCTCAGCATTCATCATTGTTTGGTTTTTTTCATTTAATTGGACCCCTGCTAGGTAAGGAATTCGACTGGGTCAGCACACACACACATACACACAGACGCATGTGACACATAAAGAGCCTGAAAGATAGAGCCTGGCGGTGTTTAGGCTTTTGTGCCTGTGTTGAAGTCTGAACATGTGGTGCACATGTGTTTTCAGACATGTATCTTATCTAAATGGAGCTGCACTGTAGGCTTCAGCTTCATCATGTTTATCCTGCAAATGCACCATGAAGCAGAACACACACTAAACCTGTTTTAAATGCAGCCTTTTTCTCACGGTTTTTACCTACTGCCCCTTGCCAAGGTCAAGAAAAAGCACAGGAACACACACACACATTCTGTGGGCAGTTTGCCACCTTCCATTGCCCCATTGTCTCGTCCTGCTGACCTAGTTGGCTGGACGACAAGACTTCTTGTTGTGGGTCTCAAGCAGGGCATTAGTACAGTTCTGCAGCACTGAGAGACACTCAGCTCCTATATGTGTGTGTAATTATGTACATTAAGGATTAATCCTTATTGGATATATACATACATAGGTGAGCATGTCTCTGAGTGAGTGAGTGAGTCAGTGAGTGAGTCAGTTTGTGTACAGTTCTGTCTGAAAGTCTGAGACCACCCTTCATTTATTTAATTTCAAGGCAAACTGGCTTTAAATGCTACTTATTCATTTTTCAGCACCAGTAAAAAAGCAGAAAATATTATTTTAACCCTTGTGTGGTGTTGATGTGTTTGTCACTCAGTGGTCTGGTGGACACAGCATTATTGTTTTTAAATCAATACAGTCATAACAATTTATGTAAAAATACCAGATGTTTAAAACATCACAAGTGTCCAGTGTAGGGTTCTCCTTTAGCAGCTATAGCCAGTCAGCAGCCTGTCCATGTTGTCCACCCTCACACACACACACACATATATACAAATGAAGCCAGGGTGGTGATTGATTCTCTCCTCTCTGTCAAATATGAAAGCTTGAAGTACTGATAAATCTGAACAGGACAGTTTTGGGTGTCTACCAGGTCTTGTACGTTTGTTCGGAATCCCATTTTCTTTCATCATTTTTTTCGACTTCAGTTTTGGATTTTTTTTTCACCTGTTATTCTTTGACTTTGCCCTTCCTTATGCAAGTAGAACCTCCTCAAAAATATATCTGAAAAATGAGTAACGTCTTAACTGCACTTTGACCTTTGTGCAGTACTGTATGTGAGCATGTTGCTGCTGTCGGAACAAAATCTCGTATCTCCTTTTTGTTTGTTTTTCAGTTTTTGTCAAAATTTAAAAAAGGCCCAAAATGACTTGGAAAAAATTCTGGTTCCATTGATTTGCATTAAAAGTTAAGTAGGTTTTTTCTTCTCCTGTAAAGTTACCATTTTTCGTTCTCACAGCAGCGATATGTGAGTGTGTGAACGTGTGTGTGTTTCCTGTGACACAGTCCACTCTCTTCATGAGCAGGTTTGAGTGTCATCTGTCCTATATAAACATCTCATGTCAGTATTTGTGTGTGTATCTGTTATAGACTGTGTTCTGTGTTTCGTCCTCTCTGTCTGTTTTAGTGTGTCAGTGTTTCTCAGTGCTGGAGGACGGAGCGCTGGCTCATAGCCTTCAGGAGCAGGAGAGTGAGTAACAGCCTCATACGGTCATCTCTCTGTCTGTCCCTATCTGTCCCTTCATCCTTCCCTCCGTCCCTCATCCTTCCATCCGTCTATACCTCCTTCCGTTCATATCTCTATCCTTCTATACTTCCATCTATCCATCCATCTCTTTATCCATTCCTCCCTTTATCCATCTTCTATCATCCCTCCATCCAACTGTCTATCCCTTTATCTATCACTTTCTCCATCCCTCATCCTTCCATCCATCTGTACCTCCTTCCGTTCCTATCTTTATCCATCTATACTTCCATCCATCCATCTCTTTATCCATTCCTCCTTTTATCTGTCTTCTATCATCCCTCCATCTGTCTATCCCTTTATCTATCCCTTTCTCCATCCCTCATCCTTTCATCCATCTATACATCCTTTCGTCCATATCTATCCATCTGTACTTCCATCCATCCATCCATCCATCCATCCATCTCTTTATCCATCCCTCTCTCTGTCCATCTTCTATCGTCCCTTCATCCAGCTGTCAATCCCTTCATTCCTCCTTTTATCTGTCCCTTTATCCATTCCTCCATACCTCATCTTTCCAACCATCCATCCCCTTATCCCTCTCTATCCATCCCTTCATCAATCCATGCATCCTTGTACTCATTCGTACCTCAATAATACATCCCTCCATCCGTCCCATCGTCTGTCCACCCTTATATCTGTCCTTTTATCCCTCTATCAACCCAATTTCCTTCCATCCATCCCTCTATCCTTCTATTCAATTCCAGCCCTCCATCCATTCCTTTATCCCTCTATCCATCCCTTCATCCCACCATCCATTCATCCCCCCATCCATCCATCTATTTATCCTAATTCCTCCATCCAACTACATCCAACTGTACCTCCAACCCTCCCACTCCATCCCTCTTTTCCTCCATCACTCTATACATCCCATCTTTCTTCCATCTCTCCATCCCCGTCCCTCTTTGCATCCCTCTATTCATCCCTCTACTCCCTATACATCCCTCCATGCAACAATACTTCCAACCCTGTATCCTTCCTACCTTCACTTTATCCACTGCTCCATCCATTGGTTTATCCTTCCATTCCTCCATCCATTCTCCCTCCAACCCTCCTTCTGTCCTGTAGCGCCTCTTTTCTAATCTCTCTATCCATCCCTCCATCAAAATATACCTTCAACCCTCTCTTAATTCCCCTCTCCATCCCTCTATTCCTCTGTCTATATTTTCCACTCACCTATACCTTCAACACTCTCTCCATCCTTCCATTAATTCCCTCCATTCCACCTTCTAAAACATTCCTGACATTGTTTCATCCCAAATAGTCTACAGCCAAGATTACAGCTAAAAGCATATTGTTTACAGTGTAAATCTCACAGCACTTCTAATTAATTACAGTCCTTTAGGAAATAATTCAGTGAGTCACGAAGTCTCAGATTTCACCGCCACTCTGTTCAACTCAGTTTAGTTCAGCTCTTTTATTTTGGTCCAATTCAGACTTTGTATGGTTGAGAATAGCTATAGAATTCTATGTAACTAAAGTGTGAGTGCATATGAGTACGTTATCAAAAAAGGTTATAATCAGTTATAATTTATCCTAACATCCATATGAACGCTCTCATTTCTCCCTATCCCAGTCGAGCAGTTCTACAGCTCCAACGTTCAGAAGAACCAGGCGGTGCAGAGTGATGTGCGTCTCGCTCGGAGGCTGCAAGACGAGGAAGAGCGGAGAGCCCGTCTCGGCCACCAGCTACGGCAAATGTAAGACACTGTGTCTGACCACTGTTTGATTAATCAACCAGGCTGACTATTCTTCCTCTCTGTTTGCTGCCACCATCATTCCATCATTCAAAGTCAGGTCTGTGTAACAAGCTTGTTTTATGGTGTAATGAAACAATTCCTTTATCACAATAGCCATAAAATGTAATGTCAGCCTGTTTAGAGATCCATCAGTACAGCTTTGAATTTCAAAAAATTTCATAAAATTCGTTTTTAATTAAGAATTTCAATATTTTTAATTAAAAAAGAATTTTATGAAATTTTTAAAAATAAAAAACAATTCTATTTTTAACTAAACTGTCTAATTTCATTTTATTAATAAAATATCTGACAAGTTGATTTCCATTCCAGTGGTGGAATGGCCACTAGGAGGCCTGCAGACAGGGGTTAAAGACATCTCCCTGGGGTTGGGCACTATTACGATATTTATTATTATCGTGATTAATGACATCACGGTATGTCGTAATTAGATTTTATGAGCATTTTGTGGATATCGTCAGTACTTAATGAACACTGATCAGTTGCATGTTTCATTACAGAATTAGGCCTGTTTAATTGGATTTAGTGCAGGATACTTGTATTTTTCAAAAGTACAGCATATTTAATGTCTATTCCAGCTTATCAAACCTCAGAAAAACTAAATATAGTTTTAGAAAATGTCTTGAAACATCATGATGTTTTATTTTTGCTAGTTCTCCCACCCTTACCACCTCCATTCCTGATGCTTTCTATGACGCATAAACCTTTTTGTTGATTATGTCGGTTAATCTTAGCGTAAGCAGTCATTTTGCCTCCCTTTCAAAATCCTCCATAGATTCTCATCTATTCCGAGAACACTGATCATATCATCCCTAAACCTACAGACCCTGTTACAAGCTGTGCTCAATACAAAGTGCTTCTTTAGACCATGGACAAATCTGATGTTTCACACTAGCTACTAAAGCCATGTGTAAGTTATATCATTATGAGAGGGAGGAGGTGGAGTGAGGACCCACAAGCATGAACTTGCAGCTTAAAGTTGCATTAAAGAATTCAGAGCATTGTTTAGTGTCTCTACCGTGCATTAAGTTCTGTTAAATTCCTCTGTCTGTACAGAGTGCTTCACGTTTTGCTTCGATTAATTAGACTTTTTTTCACAAAAACTGGACCTACATTCAGCTGGTCCAGGGCACTGTTAAAAATAGCTAACTTCCTGAGTGTTGATAAACATCTGAAGGCGTTTCAAAGTTTTTCAGTAAACTGTGAATGACCCTGGCAGGAACTTCCATCTCTGTGGCTCATTTACAGGGAGGAGCAGGACTGTGAGTACGCAAAGATGATTCAGGAGGAGCTCCAGAGGCACGACGAAGAAGCTCAAAGGAGGGAGGAAGAGGATGAGGTATGTTAAAGTGTTAAAGTGACATATGGAAAAGTTTAGTGTCGTATCTTTGGTTCTTTTTTTACATTGTACATGTTAAAGTGATGATTTGGCAAGAAATTACATTTACGCGGTTTCATTTCAGCAAATGTAATGAGTCACCAAGGCGCTGAGTATCTGAATTTGTTGTCTGAAGAAAACCTTGTACCTCCAAAATGGTAACTTTACAGGAGAAGAAGGAAACCTACTTTACTTCTAATGTAAGTCAATGTAACCAGACGATTTTCCAAGTCGTTTTGGGCCGTTTCTTTTGCTCCATTCGTCATGAAATTTACACACAATGTAAAGACCAACAGGTATTTTCAAATTACGTCAAAAACTGAAAAACGGCAAAAATGGAGATACAAAGTTTTCTTCCGACAGCAGCGTTATGTTAATTAGAGTTGTGCAAACTGCCATTTTTTGCCTCAAATCTTGTCTCAAACCAAGTTAAGTGGCTAGATATTCAAATTAGGGGTGAGAAAAAAAATCAATTCTTAAATGCATCATGTTTGTCTCTTGAAAGATTTTAAATCAGTTCAGGAAACATCATAATCTGATATTTGTGTTTCCTCTGTAAAAGAAACTCACACACACTCAGACACATTATAAATTAGGATACTTTGGTGCAGCCAGGCTTTGAGGAGGAAAGAAAATGCACTCATGCATCTCATTAATACACCCAGTTACACATCGGTTACAACATTTTGTTTCTAAGAAGTAAAACGACCGAAAACCTACTTGCGTAAGAATGTGGCTTTGTTTAACAGCCAGCTCTGAAGATGCTAACCAACTAACAGGCTAAAGGCCTATTCACACCGAGTTTTACAGACGGAAAAAACTCATGTTTTGAAAACAAACCCGTGTGTTAATACCGCCTTTCACACCGAGTGCAAAACTGACAGACATTGCAAAATTTTTACAGTCTGAACCTGCTCGATTTTCTGCTATGTACAGATTCGTTAAAAAATTGTCACGGTTGCATCTAAATGCTGATGTGTCTCAAATATATTCTTTAACTCAGATGTTTGTAGCCCAGTTTGAACCCCGTTTGAGCTGCTCTCGGAGATTGTTTCTTTTAGTGTTGAATGAAAAAGTTCTGTTTTCTGCTCTGCCATCTTGGTTGCCGCCATGCCAGAGACGACCATGATTGGTGAGCGAGTTCATGTTGAACAGAGGGCAAATAAAATAACAAATAACATTTTCGGCGTCCAAAAAAATCATGTTTGCTGTGCAAAATGCTGTCAGTTATACCTGATTTTGAATTAATTTGCTGTCATCAGAATAACTCAGAAAAACGTGTTCAGTGTTTAAAGGCTGTTAGGCTGTAAATTTGAGTCTTTACTGAAGGATTTTACTGGGGTTTTCCCAGAGTGCAACATACCAGCTGAGGAACATTCTTAGCGTTTTCCATTCAGCTTAAGTTTTCCCGATCAGAGTATGTGACTGGAACGTCTGCTGCTCCACTCCTCGCTCAAACCGTTCTGTAAATAGTCTGTAAACATGTGATTTCCATTAAAGATTATCATTAAATCAGGTATTATTAAAAACATGTATATGTGTCCTACATTATGATCAAGATGCATAGAGAAATATTTTTTTAACTGCAATGTGGCCTTGAGATTCTCACCTCTAATCTAAAATGGACTTGCTCATGTTGTTTCTGACACTGTACGACTATTACTATTACCTATTCTTGCCTTTCGCTTGATGTCACACTGTAGTCGCCGCCATTTTGAGGACTGAATCAGGGAGTGACTGCGCTGCGCGATGCCTTCCATTTGCTGTGCTTTGTGAATGATTCACCTGCAAGACGTGACAGAAGCTGAGAGACACACAGACCTTTAGTTCAGTGTTTCTGACTCCAGGCTTGGAGCCCCTGCACTGTATAGTTCAGTGTTTCTCTCTGCTGTTCACCTCGTTCAGCTCAAGAAGGGATTAATTAGCTGATAATATCAGGTATTTTAACCAGGAAACCACAGTTATGCAGTGCAGGGGTTTCAGGACTGGAGCTGAACTCTGAACTAACTGCACTAGCAAACTTACAGAATCACGTCTGTCGAAACACGACGTCGTTTTCTGACCCACGACATTCAGTCTGATATTTAACGTTTATGTTTCTCCATTTAAACGTCATTTAAATCAGAAACAGAGAGTAAAGTTATACCGGCTGTCTGCAGCTCCGTTAGGGGGCGACAGTTTATCTCTCGGCTGTTAACATCAGCTAAAGTTACCTAAAGGCTAGCATTGTTCACCTCTGTGTTAATGAGCTGATGTCGTTACCCTCCTATGATCACAGAGTTTTTCTCCTCTTTATGCAACACCATGGGATCCTTTTCCCACCCTGATGTGAAGAGCCGGTGGGCTTCTGTGCTTTTAAATGCTCTGAGAGACTCTCCAGAATAAGGAGAGGGGCTGAATAAGATAAATATGTCAAAAAACACACATTTGCTAGCTTTTCCACCAGTTTAAGTGGAACCAGGAGTTCAGGGGAAACTGTATAAGGATTGCAGCCTATTTTATCAACTTTGTCGAGGTCACGTTTTTCTCTTCCAAAGTAAGGAGAGTCATTTTGGCCATCTTTCACCTTTAGTTCCGTTTGTGTGGAGCAGTGAAGCCAAAAATTCGGTCCCAAATATGGCGGCCACAACAGAAAAATCACGTGACTGAAACCCTGAAAAAAAGACAAAAGTACCCTGCACTGCTGAAAGCAGTAGAGCAGCCGTCTGCATTAATTTCTTTCATACTTTTGTCCAGTCAAGCTATCTCTTTAAGTGTTGCCAGTCTGAATATGTAAGTGTTTTGTCCTGGCTTTGAGTGTGTGGTCTCGCACGAGAGCACACATTGTTGGCTGCTGTATTGAAGCCTGGCTGCCCGACAGTCTGTTCTCACTTTTAAGCTGATTACAGAGTACTAACCAAGCACCGGGACAGAGTGGGTGCTTGTTCCCCACAGAAAAGCAGCCGGATGGAGAGATCAGAGGACAAAAGAGAAAGAAGGAGAGAGAGAGAATGAGGCCCCTGTTGCATGTGAAGTGTCTCTCAGCCAGCAGTCCACTTCAACGCAGCCTCAAGAGTTTCTTTATTACGCTCCTGTTTCTCAGTTCCTTTTTTCCATCTTGTAAGAAATGAGCTCCAAAATGCCAGCTTTGTCATAACGCAGCTCAGATTGGCACTGTTGCCTTCGAAACGGTTGCCACAGCAACAACTGAGATGTTTCCACGGTAGCGGCTGGTCGTCACTGAGGCGGAGGGTTGGTTGGATGCAAATCGTGAGGCCACGTAATGTGTTGTTCTGGCTACTGTTCGGTTTTGGAGAGCCAGAGAAGACCCACTGTGAAAGGCGTGACAGTTTATGTAAAGCTTGGTGAGTTGTTTGTCTTTAGCTTAGCGAACATTAAAGGAATAGTTTGCCAAAAAAGCAGACATACACAGTTTTCTCCTTATCTGCAATGTAGTCGATCAGTGTTTGGTGTATGTTAGTTTTGCATAGATGCCAAGTAGCTAATGAAGAGGTACAGAAGCTTGTGAACACCAATTAGCATGGTGCAAACTGCATGCATAAACCATCAGTTGCCTCAAACCATGTTGAGTTGTTAGCTGATCTCAAATAGACATAGAATGAGAAAAGACTGTATGACTAGAAGGGGAGGGAGGTCTGAGAACTTGGACTGGAGTTCCGGAAAGCTTCTGCTTTAACCCAGACCCGGAGACCGATAACGATAGGTCACGTCTAGCCTTCAAGATTTAAGATAAAAACATGTTCCACATATCAGGACATTCAGTAGACCCTCCCCTAACTAGCTAGCATGATGTCATCAAGCTGTGATGTCAGCATCAGTAAGTAATTCGGCTCAGAAAATCACCTAAAATCCTGATATTATTGCTCTGCTGTTTGGCCTTCATATTCCAACAAAGGGTTAAAACAGAGACATGATTCACACATCAGATCACTCATCAGACTCTGCTTCACCATCCAGAGTGATTTCATCCACCTGTGACCGTCCATCAGCCAGCAGTCCAGCTCCAAAATCACCCAAACCCTGCTTGCTACTGTTATATTACATCTCTACTGTTAGCCTTCAGCTTATAAACAAAGGGCTTTCAGTTTACATTGACTTTGAGTATTAAAAATATCTGATATTAAATATGCAACTCAATTTGTAATTAAAAATAAAGCCTGTCTTGCTGTGTATCAGAGTTTTAACACTCAGCATGAATCCAAGAGGACAGAAAAACATGTCCGCCTTAGAATGAATCACCAATAGAATGAATCACCATCAAAATTATTGCACTTTCAGCTCACAGACACTCCAGATTAACAGTTTCTGAAAAGATAACTACAACTGCACTTGTTTTCAAGATCTCTATAGTTAAAAAAATACAAAATTTAGCAGGCACTAGATAAGTTTTTGATCAGAAATGACCCAAATTCATAAAGATATCAAATTTCTGTTAGCATTTACACATCAAACAATGGCATATCTGAGTAGCCCAGGGTCTTCTGAAAATAACAGCATATGGCCTGTGTGACTGTCACATGTAAATACTTCATAATTGCAATTGAAATTGTAATCGACCCAAAAAATAACAAAAAATTCCCCAAAATGTTAGGTTTCTAAGGGTTAAGCTAGAATGCTAGACCCTCTTTTCATGGATAGAGGTAGAACTGGCAAATGGTCATAGTATGGGAAGAGACTGTATGATTGTAGGAGGAGAAAGAGCTTTGAGAACCTGGGCTGGGTCTTTGGGCCGCTTCTGCATTAAGCTAGAAGACCATACCCCCAGAGATTTATGGGTAGTGTGTCTGAGAAGGCCACTGCTACTGCTGTTTTTAGCTAAGCTGTGTACTTCTGTCCATTTTTATAGACCACATTAAGTCAAACAGTGTCAGAAACCATATAAGCACATCAGTTTGAGGAAGTTAACAGCTGAAGGCAGTTTGAGGCGAGCCAGACTAGTCCTTTAAGGAGAAGCAATTAGA